GTGCTTTGTCATTTTTTCTTTTTAAAGCAAAACAACACAACCTTGGCTTCTCAGATATGGAACACCTCTTTTGTTGTTGTGAAGTTCCCTCTTGCTGTATCTTCTATGCAATTCCTTTTCTAAAAAAAAAAAAAAATTCCCTGGTGACAGAGGAGAGCTCTCTGGGCACTGTTGTCTGTCGCCCTGCTGTGTGGCAGAGGTGAGGGACACCAGCTCTGGGTGTGCCTCTTTCCTCTCTCTTACTGCCGCTCCTGACTTTTCCTGCAGTCCCCTTGGTTTGTAAATTGCCTGCATTTATTCCATCAGCCAACATGTACAAAGTGTAAGAAAGAATTTTTAAACAGGTAATAAATTATATTTATAAGCAACAGAGTGCCTGCCTCCCTGGTTTCTTCATGACAAATGACTCCTTCCTATCAAGCATCATTATGTTTCTTTGGTTGGACCAAAGACCTCTTAGTCACAACCTCCCTCAGTCACAGGATGACATTCTAAGACAGTGCTTCTTCAACATTGCGATACACAGGCATCACCCCAGACTCAGAAACTAATGCCCAGGCCCTACCTCAAGAGATTCTGGTGTAATCAGTCTGGCTGCAGCCTGGGCACTGAGTTTGGAAAGTTCCCAGGTGATGCCAGTGAGCACTTGAGAATGAGAATGAGTGTCTTAGACCATCTGTGTCAAAATTTTCCTGAAGAACTTGCCAGTGGTGTCAGGTCCTACTCTCAGAGATCTGATTATAAATGGAGTTTATACACAATGACACTAACAGGAAATGAAAGGTTAACAGAAACTCCACGACATGGCTAAGAGCTGGAGCAAAATACCAGCCAAGGTGTTCAACTGGGAACAGATCTCCTAGTTGTTCCCTTAGGGAGCAAGCAGAAAGCTCCAGAAAAGAGGTGAAAAGCAGCTAGGAGTCTGAGGAGTGGGAGCAATGGTCCCGCTTTCCTCCCTGGGAGAACTACTTCAAGAAGGGTCCTCAGCCTGGTTAGCCAGTGTAGGCAGCTGCAGCAGGGCTGGGCAACTCTCATCCATGGGCCTCAGGACAGCGACTTACCATGGATTCAGTGGTGGCATCACAAATGTTTGTTCAGGGCCAAGGAAATAATGAAACTATGTAAACTGGAACCTGTGTAGAATCAATGGGAGGCCTGTGGCTGGAAGCATAAAAATTCAATTAAAAAGCAAACAAAAATTGTACAAAGAAAACACTTGGTAGCACCGTCTCAGCCCATTTTTGACCTCTCCTCTGGAGCTTCAGCAGCTGGGAATCCCGCTGAGAAAGCTGCTGCTCCCAGGAAAGCACACAAAGGCTTACAAGGTCAAGTCAGGGGACCCAACTCCAGCCTGTCTCCAAGTTGAGGTCACTGGAAAGTTCTGAGAACTGACCACGCTCTCCATCCACCCTCTGTGCCTGCCTGTGGGTGCTAGGCAAAGAACTTTGCCCAGGCCCAGAGACAGGACAGCTGGATTATATCCCAATGTGGTTAGGAATCAGTGAGCAACCATTTCTGTTCTCCTGAGAGTGGGGGCATCTATACTTTGCCACTGTGACACATGGGACAACCATGCCTGCCCCTAAAGTGACCCAAGAGGAGAAACTTTTCCTTGGCTGGGGTTTACTGTCTGCCTGTGAGTCTAGAGAAGCATGGCTGTCTCAGCATGAAGTGGGGAGCAGAAAGGGTAGGAGGGATGTTCCAATGGAAATCTCCAGGTGAAACTAATGTCAGGCAGTGTTTTGAGCAACCATTATGCACCTGGCATGGGGCTGTCACATACTTCATGTATCATCTCATGTTCCTCATAAGAGCCTTATAAGGTAGACGTAGGGATTTTTATCCCATTTTATAGGTGAGAAGGTTGCGGATGCAAAGTTGTATACTTCTGCAGGACTCAGAAAGTGAACATGATGGGATTTGAACCAGGTCAGCCTGAACCCCAACTGTGAGTCACATTTCAGTTGGCAGGAATGAAGCTGCCAACATGGACAGCCAAAGGCCAACTTTTCAGTCCCCAATTACAGTTCATGATGCAAAACCTCCTGCATGCTCCACCCCAAACAATTCTGTGCTTCCTCTCTCCTGATCCCATTTCCAATGGTTCCCCCTCAAAACCAAACTTCCCAACCTGCTCTCCAAGGTTCATGACCTTTGGAAAATCAGCCCTGACACTTTTGCTGCCCTTTGGCAGAGGATCTTCTCCTCCCTTGGGTAAGTTTTTGAGGCCATAGCAGTAGCCTCTTTCTTCCACATTCCAAGGACCTCACAGCTGTCAAGAAGGCAGGGTCTTTCTCATACCATTCTCCATCTGCTAGATCATTACCCTTGCATAAAAACCACTCCATGCATTTCAGGCCAGTGGGCCCTACCACCACACCTCCAGTTTCTGGCCCCACAAACTACCCACCCTTTTTCCCAAGGCCTTTGGACAGTTCTGCCTCATATGCTCTTCTAATGACTGCCATCAGGGGAGCTTTGAAATCCACAGAGACAGCAAATCTAAAAGCCAGGCCTTGGGGTTCCTCTTTCATCACCAATAATCCTGTCCACTCACTAAATTCCTGAGATCCATTCCTGAGATCACACCCTCAGCCTGTCCTTAGTCTTGCTGGTCCCCCTTTGAAATCTTGATTCTGACCACCTCAGCTCTTTCAGAAGCCACCAATACAGCTCCAACTCCGCCAGGATTCCCTCCTCTGACTGGTTCTTTCCAGTCTATTAGGAGCCTCCTCTCTTTAATTCCTGCCTTGTGCAGTCCACGTCACATGGCCCTTTGATGATAGTAATTCTTATTTTCCATGATGTGCTGCTGCCTGTGACTGAAAAACCCCAGTGCTAAATTAAGCCAATCATTGCTGTCTCTGTGCCTGTATTTGGGGTTGCTGAAAAAAATAAAAATCACAAGCCACATAGAAAATGGGCACTATGAATCTGTAATAGAGCTAACAGCAATAGCTGGGTGCTTAGCTATGCTTGGTACAAGGATTATTTCATGTTCAGAACAACTCCACATGGTAGCTATTAATATTATTCTCACCTGCACAGGGAAGAAGGTGAGTCTTTGAGAAGTTCAGAACATGCCTAGTGTCACAGAGTTGGGAGAATGACTTAGCCTGGATTCACATACAGGCTGGCTGGTGGCCCAGAGACTGGGCTATGGTGTTACCCAGCATGACCTACCTCCACTGGCCCTTGGTCTTGCCCATACCTAGCTGGCTGTTTCTCTGGGAAGCTATCATTCTCTACAGTGCAATTTTAAACCTTCTTCACTCTCCTCAAACCACTGACGGCCCTGACTTTCCCCTTATTCTCAGCAGATGACTGTGTTTCCTAATTACAGGGAAAATGGAAGCCATTGGGCCATGTTGCTTGTTCTCTTTCCACAAAATGTTCACACTTACCTGCATCTGCCGTCTTCCTTGCTTCCCTCCTGTTACAATGTGATATTTTCAAAAACAAAAAAAAAGACACAACCACGAGATAACAGTCATGTTTTCTCTAAGGGGAGAATGAAACCATTTTATTTAAGGGAATGTTAAAACAAAGCCATATACAATTTGTAACAAATACAATTGTTTGTTCCCTAGTTCTGAATAATTACAGTATATACAAATTCGTAAGGCACTGGTTCCCCCGAAGAACACAAATGAGTCTTCTTCTGAAACAGACAGACAACAAAACCCCTATATATTCCCAACTTTTCTCCCCCAAACATGGCATTGTTGTGTTTGTTTTGTGAGAGGAATACTTGCTAAACTAAATCGCTTTTGATGCTACTCCTTTCATCCCCACTGCTATGGGACAGTTTCCTGAGGAGATATTAGGACTGAACAAACTCAAGTGTGGAAGACTCTCCTCTCTCTGCCTTCCAAGGAGCCAGGAAGGGCCCCACATGAAACTCCAAAAGAAAACGCATGACCCTAGGAGCACGCAATTCGGCCATTAATTAAGTACATGCTATACTTGACTACACACCAATTGAAATGCAGAATCCAAAAATTCCCTTTAAATAAAACCCCAGCATGTTTTCTAAGAAGATTTCTTTTGGGGAATAAAAAGAATTGTCGTGAGTGACTTTTGAGCAGCGCTTCCAGGTCAAAGGCCCGTCTCCTCATACATGATGCTCAGAGCACTTCACTGGTGAGTTAACAATCTTATATGCTTTCATAAATAAATATTATGTTTCATTTAGTACTTTATCATCCATAATATTTTACTCTCTAATCCACATAATGGAGTTGTGCCAGACTCCAGACTGAACATAATATTTATATATACATCTATATTTATAATAATATGTACACACATACATAAGCTATAAACCTGAACGTCTTAGCATACAAAGCTTATCTAACAACTAATAATTTAGGATTCCTTTGGGACAGAGGGGTTAGAAGAAAATAAGCAATCAACTACACGACTGTCAGGTTCTCACTTGTTCAATTGAAGGACAAAACAAAATAATAATAATAAAAATAAAATTCACTTAGCTGCTAGAAATTTAAAAACTATAAAGGATTATTGGGAGCTGAGTAGGTAGTCTTCAAGAACAATTTAGTATTACCTAAGAAAAGTATATTTTGGTAAGATACAGAGGAAAAAAAATCTATTCATAAATAAATTCTTGTTTCACTGAAATGCTATCATAGCTATGTGGGTATTTTTAAATATTTCAGGAATCATTTTCAAATTTTCATAGTAAATAAATCAGGTTGGAGATTATAAAGTAAGCTATCAGTTTTCCCCAAAGCAACCAAATGAACAACAAAGAAGATATTTGGACACTATTTGAATTTCCTTCTATCCACTGGAACCCTAGAAATCTAGTTTACTTTTAAATCATAACCTCTCCACAAAATTTTCTGATTTGAAGTTATTCATGTTCAAGAAAAAGACAATACAGTTTTATCTAAGAGGTGAACCCAACCTCACTTACATTTAGCAAAACACAAGAAAAAACACTATGCCCTGCTTAACTGGCATAAATGCTTACTTACTTGTTTGTAGATGATCTGATTAGAGGCACCAAAGTTTCTCTCCAAGGCTCAGGTGATCATCACACTTAGTTCTAACTTTATATTCCTTCTAAACTATCACAAAAAATATAATTTGACACAACAGACATGAACCTTTACATTGCTACTGAGGTTACTTTAATATCAGTAAGCAGCCTTCTGACTACAATTATATTTGGTACCAATTGTTTTTACTCCTAAGTTTTTTTTTCAAACTCAAGGATTCAGAAATTGTTCCGAGTGAAAAACAAAACGTTGCTATGAAGAAACCCAGGGAAAAGAATGCAGAATGGAGAGTGCTGCATTTCTCATGATTTTCCTAAACCGAAAGCAGTCTCCCATGCACTCATTGCTTCAGAGTGTTCTCTGGATGAACAAGACACCAGCTGCAGGTCTACTTCAGAAGTGAGAAAAATATTTTCTCATTTTTCATGCAGCTGTCAATTTTTCAAAAATTTTCCATCCTTCAGTCACCCGCTGAAAATGCATTAGAAAACACTGCCCCCTGGAGTATTCTGGAAGGAATGTCTTTTTTAAACACCAAGGGGGAAGTGCTGACTTTTTTTTTTTTTTTTTTTTT